ACAAGTCATCCAAGTTAAAGTTAGGGGACTATGATATTTAGTACATTTCCTCTGATGATTTCTGGAACATAAATTGTGCTCTCTTATAGTTTCCAATAGCTATATCCATCTTTTGGTGATTTGGGAAAGGGCTGAAAATAAATAATATCTAAGGGCCTTGAAGAACTGAAAACAGACTACTAATCAATAAAGGTAATCTCTTCAAATAATTGGTTTCTGCTATTCCACCTGAATATCTCCCAAATCAACAAATGAAATGGTCCATATTGCCTGTCTGCTGCAAATTGGTGTTTGTAAAGAGTGAAATTACCTGAGATAATACATCAATAAAGCAGCATTTCTGACAACCCATATCTTCAGGTTCAAGAAAGGTGATGCATAAATATGTCAAAAAATGTTCAATAATGTTAAAAGGAAAACAAAAAGTTTTTGATACCCACACTATAATTCACAATGAATTCTAGTCCACCAGGTTTTATATCCTGTAGTAGATGACCCTCCAGTCGGGAGTTAGTGCATATAAGGCCAGGAAATTCAGTTTCCCTGCTAACATGGCTGACTTCAGTAAAATTCATGGCTTGCCCAGGAATTTGAGCTTCATTTGGTCTGAAATCCTAGATGTGGCCTGTACACATTAGGGTTACATAACTCTCCTCAGTTCTAGACTACTGTATTCTTAATCTTCTTGAACTAATATACCTAACCATAGGTACATATAGTGTTCAGCCTAAAACTAAAGACAAAAGTGGAGCTCACATCTTTCAAGTATTAAAGTTTCCTAAATCCTATTTATTTATTTATTTATTTATTTATTTATTTAATTGATTGATTGATTTGGGTTCACACCCATTGTGGAGTCCAACACAGGGTTTGAACCTACAACCCTGAGATCAAGACCTGAGCTGAGATTAAGAGTCAGGCACTTAAACAACTGAGCCACCCAGGCACCCCATAAACTTTTCTAAATCTTAATGTGATCCTGTAATAATTGAAAAGTGGAATGATGCTTAAAAGTACTGGCACTGGGGGGGAGGGGTAGAATGGTGGGGTTCAAATCCTGGCTTTGCTATTTATCAGGTGAGTGACTTTGAGAAAGTTGCTTATTCTCTCTCTGCCTCCAGTTCCTCATCGGTAAAATGGGGATAACTATAGTACCTACCTCACAGGTCATTCATTGTAAAGAATACTCACAAAGCACATATAATTATACCTTTTTCATAGTTAAGAGTCTAATACATATGAACCATTATCATTAACAAAATACCATCACAAAATTATTTAAAAATTTTTTTTAATCTTTATTTTTGAGAGAGAGAGAGAGAGAGAGTATGAGTCGGGGAGGGGGCAGAGAGAGAGGGAAACACAGAATCTGAAACAGGCCCCAGTCTCAGAGTTGTCAGCACAGAGCCTGACGTGGGGCTCGAACTCATGGACTGTGAAATCATGACCTGAGCTGAAGTGGGACGCTTAACCGACTGAGCCACCCAGGCGCCCCACAAAATCATTTTTACAGGAATAAGGTAGGAAACATATTTCAAAGCAAGTTCAGTAGATGGATTATTAGACCACAATAATGAAAGCAATAACAGAAATGATAGGTCATTAAGCTCGGATAAACAGAAGAGTAAAACTTCAACAAACTACGAGAAAGAGCAACTTTCTGTTCAGGATAATAAAATGAACATATGTGCTCATCTTCTCTCCCTCTCAAAATGTTTCTGAAATGTCAGAAAGACTGGAGACCTTTAAAAACACTCAAATTGGGGAAAGAACCATTAGTATACCAACCTGAAGAATATCTATAAAATAAAGAATTGTAGTGAGGAATAAGTTAAAATGATGGACTGCACAGCAGTAGGCTACATGGGGAAAGGACGCCATTTTTCCTAAAGGAACTTAAGAGAGACACCAACATTACAGCTGGCAGATACAGAAGGAGGAAGTGACCTCTGGTACAGAAATCGTGATGATTAATTCAAATGCTATATGTGGAAAAGATATCTGAGAAGGCATGCATCCATAACACACAAAAAAGGATGCTATTATTAAAGTTAAAGAGGAAAGAAGGGAGAAAGGGAGGGAGGAAGGAATAAAGAACAGAGTTCCTGGAAAACAAAACTATAAAAACCAACTTAAAAAATTTTATAGAAGACTGGAAGAGCAAGTGAAAGTGATCTACAAACTTAAGAAAGCAAAGACAGAGAAATATGTCCAGTTATATCGCAGGACATAACTGAAAGTGGTATAAAGGATCAGTCACGCAGGTCCTCCATCATTCTAAAATGAGATTGAGAGAGACAACAGAGAAAAATAGACAAAACAGAGGACAGGAAATAGGAGGCATGGAAGAATAGTCGAAAGACGAGTATTCTAAGTGAAAGGGCCTAAAGAATACCAAGTAGATTGAATGATATAAAATATTCCCACACTCGGATTTTATTTCATAAACTGCAGAATACATTAGCAGAGAAATGGGAACCATAAAATAATTCTGAGAGAATGAACATGACTCACAAAATATGACATCGGACTTCTCATCAGAAAAACTGAGTGATTCCAGATGATGGGGTGATGTAGGAAACATTGAGGTGGGGGGTTCAAAGATGGCCAACATTTGGTTTGGGGCAGCTTTTTTTTCAGGGCTAGAAAGGTCCCCATATTCTCTAGAACTGTCTTCCCCCAAGCAGTACCCAATGACATGAGCTGTTTCCCACTTATCAAAATAGCAAGATACTCAAATCCATCAGGGAACAACCAGACCAGCAATGTAACTCATGACTAGGGATACAAAATAGAAAACTTACTAGAAAATCATCCAAAACTAAAATAGATTTTTAAAAGCTTTTATTATTTGATGCAGTGATCACAACTCTGAAATCCTTCCTATGTAACATCCAGAAATATCTGCTACCACTTAAAACATACATTGGATCTTTTTTTTTTAATGTTTATTTATTTTTGAGAGAAAGAGAGCACGCGCCCACGCACACAAGTGGGGGAGGGTCAGAGAGACTGAGACACAGAATCTGAAGCAGGTACCAGGCTCTGAGCTGTCAGCACAGAGCCTGACACAGGGCTTGAACTCACAAGCGGTGAGATCATGACCTGAGACAAAGTTGGAAGCTTAACTGACTGAGCCACCTAGGCGCCCCAGATGTATTGAATTTCAGCACCATTTACATTACGAAAATATAGAACAAAATAGCATAAGTAAATGCCCCAAAGTTAATGTGAGTGGGCAAGTATGCAAGACCACAGAAATCCAACAACACATTATACAACAATTTAGCAATCATTACAATAAAAGTATATAGAAAATAGAAAATTAAAATTAAAATAATACACTCTATTAAAAAAAAAATGAAAATGAGGGCGCATGGGTAGCTCAGTCAGTTAAGCATCTGACTTCAGCTCAGGTCATGATCTTGCAGTTTGTGAGTTCAGAAATATGTCAGGCTTTCTGTGCTGACAGCTCCAAACAAACCTACTTCAGAATCTCTGACTTCCTCTGCCCTCGTTCTGTCTCTGTCTCTGAAAAAATAAATAAATGATAAAAAAAAAACAAAAAAAACCCAACAAAGATGAGAATGTTTAATAGCAAAAATTCTGGGATGCACCCAACAAGGAATAATGAGATAAATTTATAGATCTGAAAATAATTAAACATACAATTCAAGTTTAAAGAAGTAAATTGTAAAGAAAAAATCAGCATTAAATAATTTAGAAAACACAGAAATGGATAAATTATTTCAAGTATTCACCACGTGAGACATAAAAGTTAAATAAATAAAAATTAAATGATGGGGCTTAGCCAGTTAAACGTTTGACTTCAGCTCAGGTCATGAGGTCATGATCTCACAGCTCATGAGTTTGAGTCCTGTGTAGGGCTCTGTGCTGACAGCTCAGAGCCTGGAGCCTGCTTTGGATTCTGTGTCTCCCTCTCGCTCTCTGCCCCTCCCCCGCTCGTGCTCTCTTTGTCTCTCTCAAAAAAAATAAAGTTTTTAAAAATTAAATAAAAATTATAAATGAGCAAGAGACTATGAACATAAAAACAATAATACTAGCAGTCACTAGTGTCAAATAATGAGTTGGAAATGTCTAATCAATGATTTCCCCTAAAATGAAAATACATCATTAAAATTTACTCAAAATAGGTACCATTTTCAGAACAAACACCAAAGGAGAAAACTGAAAAAGTTATTAACAGAATAACTTTTCTAAAAAATTCCCTGGAGTCAGATGATTGTATGATCAAGCCTGTACATTTTCAGTATATCTGCTGTATTAATTTTCCCCCAGCACAGGTAAAGATGAAATATTACTAACTCATTCTATGAAGCTGATATTGTCCCATTCATTTAAAAAACTGAAAAAGATAACTTATAGGAAAACTAGAGATTTAGCATAACCTACCTCGCTCCTAACTATAGAGGCAAAAATTCTACTATGGCCCTTCTAGTTACAGAGAACCACCACAGCAGCAAAGTTGCAACAAGGGTGGTGCCTAAATTCCAGTTTAAATTAACAACAGAATTAAATGATTTGATATAAACCAAGGCAGTTTATCTACTTTAGACATGCTGAGTCCTAAAAAGCACATAAAAGACTAATGTAAATGTACCGTCTACCAGGCTATACTCTAGATCGAGAGCTGGTATTTCCTTAGCTATACATGGGGAATTTCCAAACTTTTTAAAATTTACAAGGGCTTTTCCTACCCATAGTTTACCCCTTCTCATTTGACACTGGAGGAAACTGAGGGTAAGAGATTGTCAGTACTGACCTCAAATCATAAGATGTTTAGAAGAAATTAAAAATCACACGAATACTAAAGAATCTATATTTGCACTCTTTTGCTTTTCTGAATAGCGTCCTCATAATTTATGAGTGTAGAGCAAAATAATTTAACATTGTGTTTCACTTAAAACAACCTCAAAGAATATATTACATTTTATTATATGATACAAAGCAAAGGATTTAGAGAAACACATAACTGTTACCTTCTTATAGTTTCTGGAATAGAAAGAGAATGGGGTCCTTCAGGCCAGCCAAAGAGACTGAACCAGGTCTGAGCAGCGTGTACAACCTTTTCAAAGAAGTCATATGCCTTTGTTCCTTCTTCAAGAGAAAAGAAGTGCTCATTTTTCTCCTCCTTTTTCATAGATTTATCTTTGTTTTCCTTTGAGGTTTTACTTTTGCCCGAGTTCAATCTTTCAGGTATTATTTCGATTCCTAAAATTCACATTTGTTTGTAAAAAAACAAACAAAAAAAAATTACATCACCAGAGAGTAAAATATCTTGTCAGCTATTGCTATTTGCATGTAGACAAATAAAGCTCATTCTACAAATTATTCAATGCTCTCAAAGAAATTCTGAGTCAATTGATTGTATCTTAAAAATACAAAAATAGCTTTGTTTGCAAAGACCTAAAAAAAACACTTTAAAAATAGATGAGTTTCAACAAAGAAAATCATTAAACTTTCTTCTTGTCATAATGGTGAAAACATTCCCCAAAATGAAACATTTCATTTTCAAATACATATGTAAACTATTTCGACAATTCTTCAGTTCTACTTACTAGAATTAAACCTTAGCTGAAAAACTCATAGAAACAAAATATTGGTTTCATATTCAAAATGACTATATATCCAAGAGAAGTACTTCAATGAAACATCTCAAGTTATAGAAATTTTCAATATAAAATGATTTTACTTTTTTTTTTTTTTTTTTTTCAAAAATATCTATGTAATGGCACAAGCACACACTCATTTAAAAACCTCACAATATTTAATTGGGTTTGGTCCATTCAGTAAACAGGAACATTTTCTTTTCTTTTTTTTTTTTTTTTT